AAAAAAAAAAAAAAAAAAAAAAAAAAAAAAAAAGAGTGAACAATGAAGCATGATAAGCAGTACTGATATAGAAAGTATGGGGGATTACTTGTTGTCACTGGTTACTTATGACAGTCCACAAGAGTGGCGTGTGAGGAGATACTCAGGGCATACTCACACTAGGACCTTTCTACATACTTCTGGACGTAATAGCGGTCAGATACGTGCAGGTCTGGCCGTTCATGCCATGAATACATTTAAGGTAGGGTGCGTGTGCGAACGCCCTCAGACTTTCTTCCAGGGGCATGTGTGTAAGTATAGGAGGCACACATACGTATCTTTCCGTGAGCGGAAATCCAAACAAAGACAGTACCAGCAGACTGGGTTTTCACACAAATAAATCGTAATAAAAATCATGGCCACGTTCGCGTGAGCAGAAATCCAAACAAAGACAGTACCAGCAGACTGGGTTTTCACACACATAAATCGTAATAAAAATCATGAGGAACAAATGAGGCACGACGACAGCAGTGGGTCACCCACCTCCTGGCGATTTTCTCAGGGAACAACAGTTGGGATAGGAGGAAGTCGCGGGCTCACAAGAATGCGCGAGGATCTGTGTCCTCGGCAGGCCTAAGGGGCCCTGTTGCGAATGTGCCCGCCCTAAGTGAAGGCGGGCCTAACAAAATCACGAGAGACCCTCAGCTGTCAATTCCGTATTTGGGGTTCAGGCAGTTTCGACGCGCCAGTTGGTTGAAGGAAATACAGGCCGAGCAGCAAGACATTCAAGGCCTTCCAAGCCTTTCCAAAATGATGCAGGCCCTGGACGGGATTCGCAGGCTCATACACACACAGTTGGGAGGCCCAACCGAACGAGGCCCAGTAGCTGCAACAGAGGCGCAGCATCCTGGGGCCTACCAGAAGCTTCTGGGCGCAGGCCCAAGCCAGCCAGGCCGCGAAGGCAGACAGGCTGTTTCCATATAGGAAAGAGCTCGCTGCCTGGAGGATATTCAGGCACTTGCTGGCTGGCGGCAGCGCTGTTGGAGCTTTCGCTTGCGTGCTGGCTGCTAGCGCTGGAGCAAGGTGCTGCGCACGTGCGGTCGTGTGCGGAAGCAGGGTGCTGCTGAGGGCAGCGCCATAGCCCAGCCTCCATAGCTGGCTGAGGGCTTGGTTGTACAGTGAGGCACAGTGGTGGTCTTCGGGTGTACAGAGGGAAGACATGGGTGTAAGAAGAGGGAGAGAGAGAGAAGGATGATGATGATGATGATGTGAGGGCACATACCTGGTACTGGCGATAGTCTGCATTGGGCGACATCTTCAAGTACTTCGTGAGCTGCTGATGTCAACTGTCGCATTGTCAATTAGTAGGCAGATTGTAGCTGTGTAGGAAGTAGGCTGGGCGCCAAGCGCCAAGTAGGGAGATAGGGCCTGGACACTCATGTTGGTGGTGGCGAGAGCTAGCTCTCATTGACATTGGTTTTCAGTGTTACGAATCTTCATTGGTGTTATATTGGTGCATTTCTGCTTTCCAGACACTGTGATACTATCTGGCCTTCAATGTGATTGTGTATTCTGGTTATTGTCATCTCGCTACTACTCATTTTTCCTTGCAAATGGTCTAGGAATTTTCAGGAATTGCAATTGACGGAAAGTTGGAAACCCATTTCTTCAGGCTCAACGGGACAGAGGGTTTGATCCCTATGCTGACTTACAAATTCCAAAAACAAAGAAGGAAAGAATGGTAGAGGAACGAAGAGTAAGCAGGGCTGGAGCGGTGGTAAATCCTTCTTTGTTAAAGCACCAGTACGTGCCAGCTTTCGGCCGCGGGCCCCTTTCGGAGGCCGCCCACCACCGGTTCATTTTATCTACCGCGCTCGGCCTCTGGAGGGGCTCAAAACAGGTTCTCCAGTTGCCTGGGGCCATGTACTGGTGGTTTAAACCCACCAGTACCTTTCCCGGCTATTTTTTCAGAGATGCGGCGCGTTAACGACCGTGACTCTTGGGAAATACCGGTGTGCGAAGAGGAACCAAGACACAGGTGAAAAGAAGAGGAGGGGAAAAAGCAGCAAATGCTGGTAGTACCGCGAGGGCCCGGTACATAAGAAATTCCTCACCCAGCCAATGTAGCGCAACGGCATCAACGTGTAACTGCTAATAGAGAGATCATCAGTTCGAGTCCTGGTACAATCAGATGGATACAACAATGTTAAAGGGTAGAAGTCTAGAATCTTTAACACACACACACACACACACACACACACACACACACACACACACACACACACACACAACATTAAAAAATATATATATAAAAAATCACACACTGAATAGTGGTATAGACCAGACGGGCCCTGATCCTAGTTAGCACTAATGCATGTGATAACCATGTGCTAACTGTGCGCTAACCCGGCTAGCCGACAGTGTCCTGTCCTGGTTGATACCATATGCTGACCATAGGATAATCATGTGATAAACAATGTGCTGCCCATCTGCTGACCGTGTGCTGACCGTGTGCTGACTGTGTGCTGACCATGCGCTGACCATACGCTGACCGTGTGTTGACCGTGTGTTGCCCATGTGCTGACCGTGTGCTGACCATGTGCTGACCGTGTGCTGACCGTGTTCTGACCGTGTGCTGACCGTGTGTTGACCGTGTGCTGACTGCGCGCTGACCTGGCTAGAAGAAGGTCTCCTGGTCCTGGTTAACACATAGGGTGAAAGGATTCTGGAGCGCTTTTCCCTGCAGCAGGAGGAAGGTGAGCTCATTGCCCTCACCGTTGTTGTTCTCACCATCAGCAACACCCTCTTGACCTGACAAAAAGTCATGTGTCTGGTTCCAGATGACAGAATAATCATCCTGGTTAGCACCATGTGCTAATCGTATGCTAATTGGGTTAGCAGATGGTGCAGGAGACGATGCCCCCATCCTGATTCGTGCAACGATTAGATGTCAAGTTGGTGGGTTTGGGGGGGGGGGAACTACTATCCATTTGGTGTCAATTCCATGCCAGCAAAAGGAGGTATCCAGCGGCCAAGTGGCATTAAGAAGGTTGTGGGTTCGAGCCCCACAACTGCCTGCGGCGCACTTAGTGCTAACCAGCGGCAAGCCCCACAACCGCCTGCGGCGAAATTTAGTGCCAATCCACTCGATACCTCTGATCGGTATTAGCAGGGTCCTTGGCCAACACAGGGGTGAGTGTGAGTGTGAGTGGGTTGTATGTGGTGTGTGGGACAGTAGTTGGAGAACTCGTCGACAAGAGCATGCAACACTACGCTTGTGGTACACAACTCGTAGCATCCGCATGTATGGTGAGTCAATCGTTATGCCAGCAAGAGTCTCGTCACAACACTTCAACATGCAGACAGATGAGATTGATAGCACAGGCACATCAAACATGACATGACAATGACTCAAGCGTCACCGTCTTCCTCAAAAACGAAGTCTTGCTTCAGATTGTCATCGTACTCACTCCTTCCTCACATTCCACCAGCTGCTACCCCTATGCCCCGTTTCGATCGCCACCACGCGATCCTCATCAGGGGGCTTCCCAACTTCCACTCGCCAGACTCTGCGAAAAAGACCGAAAGCTGAGAGTAGATACCATTATATCCTAGAGTTAGTTAGCTAGCTACCTTTTCCGGCGTACTATGCTTCTACATTTCGAATGTTTCCACGCTGCCACCTTTTCTTCGGTGTCTTGTGTACTTGCATTAGCTTTGGCCCTCTGTGATCTCCTTGTCCTTGTTGAAGGCGTGGAAGGTTCTTCTATGTGGAGACCGAAGGATGGTTGCCTCATCTTCCTGGCCGAAGCTTGTGTCACGGGTCTTTAACCGCTTGTCTTTTGTTCACGTACTCAATCCCCTCGCTACCACAAAGTGTGGGAGAGTGTTGGCCTTAGACACTGCTGTTATCCGGTTGGGGGTGGGGTACGATGAAAAGGGAGGCGCAGCTACTGGCTGAGTGCTCGATCTTTGCATTAGCCGACCCTCGCTGGCAGCCCCACCCCATCCTTGACCACCATGGTTGGGCCGGGGAGCAACATGCACCCCCTCTGATGGCTGGAGGGAGACGACAAAGCTACGTTCGCAGGGGTCCCCTGTATAAGCCTTAGGAGTAGTGGTAGGTAGGTAGTGAAGGTGACTTGAAAGAATTTGAAAGATATGAAAGACTTGAGAGAAAGAATATACTAATATAGCATAGTTTAAAAAAATATATATTTAAAAACTTCAAAAGCATATTTCAGAAAAGCCAGGAAACAGGATAGGGTTACAAAAACCAATGGCCCTAGGCCCCTAGTTCAGTTGGTACACCCATGAACTTTTGGAATGCATTCTGAATCGCCTGATGCCAGTCAGTTCAACAAAATCTCAAGTGCGCCGCCCTTTTTTCAAACAAAAGAAAGGGATAATAAGGTTCAAGAGGAGATGGCTTACCTCCACCTCATCTTTAGCTGTACCATATCTTCAGCTCTTTTCTTCCTGGTCCTCCTCTTCCTTTTCCGTCACGGTCTTGTTCTTCCTCTTTTTCTTCTTCTGCTTCTTAGCTGCTTCCTCCATCTCTTCAACCGCTGGTGAACTCCTCTTCCTTGATCCTTTGCTCTTATCGGTCACCTCCCGGGTCGTTTCAGCACTCACATCATCACCTACACTACCCATAATCGCTTCCTCCGCTTCGCCTGGTAAAACCCTTGTCGTCTTCTTTTCCTCCTCCTTTTCCTCCTCCTTCTTCTTCTTCTTCTTCTTCTTCTTCTTCTTCTTCTTCTTCTTCTTCACACCACCCTCATCACCCTCAATGTCATCAACAGCCGTTTTCTCTTTCACAACATCTTCACTACGCACAACCGTTCCGCCCACTTCGTCTGGCAAATCCTTCTTCCTCCTCATTTTCCTCTCTTTTTCCACACCACATTCTTCCTCGTCCATCTCATCAACTGCCGCCTCCTTGCTCCCCACCTCAGCTCTGTCTCCCTCACCAAATTTCTTCTTTTCCTTCTTCTTCTCGTTCTCACCACCGTCTGCTCCCTTCCTTCTCTTCTTCTTTGGGGGCTCCTCCTCTTCCACCATGTCAACAGACTCAACACCCCTTTGCTTATTAGACCCCTCTTCACCCTTCTTTCGCTTTCTCTCCTCAGTCCTTGGAACCTTGATGTCAGCTGTAACATTGTAGGTCTGCCTTGTCTGCTATAGAGGCAAAACTGCTTCAATTTTCAATCTACTCATCTGGGTGGAGAAGGGGCTGTTGCGGTGACGATTCATAACACACTTTTTTTTTTTTTTAATGGAGTTGTGTATAGGGATCATGAGCGCATGCACACACATAC